TTATTAAACCCGATTAAGATCCATTTCGACTAATTCCGATTAACTTTAATCGGCGGTTGTCCATTAAAATTGGCTAATCGCATCTATTATTGACAAATATTCGTTATTAATATTATTATTATTACTATTATGCTTACCTATATAAAGAGCCATAGTTGTAAAAACGATGAGACCAAACCATTTATTAAATGCACTGATGAAAAACAAAACGGCTACAATAATATCAATAATAGTTGGTAGAATTGAAAAAAGAACATAATTGAGTAAATTATTGATTGAGTCTGTGCCACGGTCCATAATTCTTAATACTTCACCAGTTTTTCTTCCAAGATGCCAGCGCAAGCTCAATCCATGTAAATGCCTAAAGATAATATATTATATTTATAGTTATATATGTAAATATGTTATTATAAATTTTAATTATAATTATAAATTTTATAATCAGTCTATAATCAGGATTCATAATTGGGTAGTAAGCGTGTTTGTAATATCGTTGATTCTGCGCATTGATACACGCATGCACTCATACGAAATTAAAAAGAAAATATATTAATTTTCTTTCTAATAAAATTTTCTATCATAATTTGTTTCTGACTTATAATAAATTTATAAGAAAAAGTTATCCGTTTTGTAACACTTTTTTTAAAACGGTATAACTCTATAAAAAAAAAATTATAGAATGTATTTGAAATATGAATATGTTTCGAAATCAATGACTTTATAAAGACTCATACACTTTTATACCATACAGCCAATTGTTCTGAGCACTTCAAAGAAATTGGCTGTTTTCGACACACTTTTAAAAAAGAAACTTTAATTTTAACCTGAATAATTCTATTTCCACTTCACGAGTAGTATATTGCTGAATACGAATCCAGAGAAAGGACCTTAAATTGTTCAACACACCCATACCTCCTGTACCACCACCTTGTAGAAATTTTAATGTTACATATATCAATATTATATCCCATCTGCAAGAAATTGAAATTATAGAAATAACATTTTTATAAATTAATCAGAGTGTATAATAAAAAGTCCAGTTATTATTACCTAAATTTCACAGGAACAGTTGTAACACTGTCTACGATTTTTTTATTATAAATTGGTACATAAAGATTTGTCAAACGTCCAGCTATCAACAACGTGAAGCAAAATATAACTCTAAATTGAAGTAAACAATCTGACTTTGGCCATAAAAATGGCATTAAAATTTTAATTTTGTACCACAAATTTTTCCATGTAGAAGTATTATCTGATCTCTATAAATATTTTTATATGAATACTCTCAATCATATACTACAGCATATTGTTTTCATAATTATGCATATTGCTTACTCTTTGATAATATCGTGATCGTGTAACTGTGTCATCATTAAGCATACGATAATCAGAATCAAAAATGTTAGCAATGCCAGGAGCCCGTAAGCCAAGAGCAAAAATCAACAAGTTACTAACATATCGCAAAATAAATAGAGCCATTTCGATTTGATCTGTCAAGCTGCAAAAAATTTCAATTAGATAAAATTAATTCTGGAACAATTGCATTGGAGATTGGTTTTTGAAATTATATTGTCCTTTTTGTAGAATTTTCTTTGTTTTAATATTAACTTACGAATTCAAGTGGAACCACCATTCAATCTTTCCAATATTAATTAAAACAAGATTTTCAGCAACAAATGCTAATGTCCAAAAACCTAGTAGTACTAATCCATGACCATGTGGTGGCACGCTTGGCAACAATTTATGTCTTTCAACTTTCAATATATAAATTGAGTATGGATAAACAATGACTGTCAATATTGTTGTTAATATCTATAAAAAAATGTTAACATTTATGTTAACAATTACAAATTATAATAATTCAAATCATCAATGTGAGTAGCAGCAGTTTATTTATATTTCGGTGTCAACAACTGCTGTGGTTTACATTGACAATTTGAGTTGACTTGTGATTTATATATATATATAAAATGTATAATTCTCACCATATATCCATAGATCATTCCATCATCCAAGACTGTAGCTTGTAAAATTATTCTTATTACACTTAAAATGGGGACAAGATACAATACAAATTTTTGTAATTTATATAGTTTGCTTTTTGGTAATGTATTTTCGTCAGTGTCAGTTCCATACTTGCGATATATCCAAAGTTGGATCGATCCAAATATAATTAAATATAAAAAAATTATACTAGTACAGATAGTATCCATGAAACATTTAGACACGCCATGGTCTATCCAAATATTGGTAAAAGTTATGTTTGGTGGACAATATCTCATTGTAGTAATATTGCTGGATATCTGTGCCATTATCAGTCTTCAATTATTGTTGTATCACTCAATATTTTTTCTTATCCGATACATATTTGTTCAGCATACATAATTACAAAAATATACAACGTTTTTTCGTGAATCTGATAGAAATAAGCGTCGCTCTGCTCCGAAAATCAAGATATTTAATCGTGGAAATTGCCGACTATTCCAGGTTAGGAAGCTGTCAGCCACACACTCACGGTCCACGGAGTAATAAGAATGGTAGAAGGTGGAAGTAAAGTCCGGAGTTCGGAAGTAACGAAATCGAAGTGTCGGAGATGCTCCTTGATTGTAAAGGTGCTTTTTCATGCTGACGATCGCGCTCTCATTTTTTAACATCAAAATAGGTCACGTGAGAAAATTAACGCTTGATATTCGTCAATTTTTATCACGTGATCTGTTTTGACGCTAGTACAAGAGCAGAAAACGGGTTGATGTAACCAAGTTTATAACCTCAATAGTGAACTTCTACGATTAATATCTCACAGGATTTCACAGGATAGATGTTTTTTTTAACCATTACAGATTTGTTCGCATTGTCTACAAACGTGTCGAATAAGTTTCATTTTATCAAAATTTGTAGAGCTAAACTGAATAATTATCCATGAAACATGTCTGATGACATATTAGCAAAGGAAAAGGAATTTCACAGATTAAATCATGATCTCCAGCTAAAAGCACAAAACGTAATGAAGACTGTTGATTCAATTAGACATGTTCATGTTGGCGAAAATTTATTTAGCGACGTAAATCAATTGCTTCCAAAATTTGTGGTGAAAGATGCAAAAAGTATACACTCAGAAGATGTAACACCAAAGAAAAATAAACAGTTAAAGACATTAATTAAAGTTTCTGAAATTCCATTAATAGAATGTACCAGTAACAATGAGATTCTGAAAAAGGATAATAATATAGAAAATAAAGCTATTATTACTCTGCTCAAAGGTAAAATAGATATGCTGTATAAAAAGTTAGAAGTAATGCAACTCGAGTATAATAATAAGGTAATATTTTTTATCGTTTTATTGTTCAATAGAGTTACTGTTGTTTTATTGCTTGATATTTATATCAGTTATACATAAATAAAGAACATTTTGAAAAAATTAACTGAAGTATATAATTATTTTATGATGAAAATTTCTTAGGCCTAATTGTGTTATTTTAATTTTAAACAAAGTTAACTTTAGCTTAATTGCTGCATATACTTTGATTTTAAGCAAAATTTAAAACTCTTTTTAAAGCCGAAAGAGAGAGAGAGAGAGAGAGAGAGAGAGAGAGAGAGAGAGACAAAGACAAAGAGATTTAAACCTTATTTAAAATTAAAATAATTTTGATGCAATGGGATCTTAAACATGTGTTTGTCTTCATGTTTCTTTCTAAATAAAGACAAACAAAAAATTAAATCATGCTTAAAGCTGAAATAATATTGGTGTAATCAGACTTTAAACTTATTAAAATATTTTAGAGGATTTGAACATTAATTATATTTGATCAGAAAACAGAAGACACCAAAATCCCCTTAAGTTCCACTTTTAGAGAGCAAAAAATATACTTTTTAACATCTTATTTTATAAAATAATTGTGTTTACATATAGTGCGATTATTATAAAGAATTAGAAGTGGAAAAGAGGAAACTTGATGATGTCCAAATTAAATTACGCAATCAAATAGAAACATTAAATGATACAATTACAAAGTTGGAACGTATAAATTCAGATATATTGTCAGACTCTCAAACTTTGAGTAAAGAAAATATTATCTTGAAAAAGGTATGTTGCATTCTTTTTGTTACACACACACACACACACACACATATATCTTTCTTTATTGTCTTCCATCTTGTTTAAATTGCTCTATTTTGTAGAATATAGCTCATTATTTGAGTTGGACAATCGCTAGTGCTTGTTGCTTTGAAAGTTCAGCTGCTTTATATATATTTAAATACATATATATTAATTTATAACTTATATTAATTAAGGCCGACAATTGTTTGACGCACAGGTTGGGGTAGGACTACGTATATTAATTAATTATTAATTTGTTTTAATTCGTGATAGTACCGCGGTAGTTTATATGTAAACAATTAAAGATCCAAGCTAGACTGTTATAGGCTTCGTATTCGTATTAATTATGTTCATACATTAACGGTCTTTAGTATTGAATATTGTTAATTAAAGATATTTTCTTTTAGGACTTAGAAAATCTTAAAAAAGAGATACGAATATTAAATCAACAGTCAACCAATCTTGACGTGAAATTAAATAAATCTCGAGATAACAATGAGAAACTTCGAGATGCATTAAAATGTAGTCAGATAAATGAGAAGGTATAATGAAGTAATCTGAAGTATATTTAAATCAGTAATTATTTAGAATATATATAGGCTCTTTACCACAAAACTTAATGAAAATATACTAATTCAACACATTTTAATTTGAAACAAAAGAATCTGACAAAGTTATGCAAGTTTATCTAAATAGACATTTTAAAAGCTGCCGTATTCTAAAAATGCTTTTAAATCTGTACAACATAAATTATTTGTGACACATTTTATTTACACTTTGCAGGAATTAAAAAATCAAATTAGAAAATTACAAGAAGATAAAGAATTAGCCGTAAAAAATTTGGAAAAGCAGCGATCAAAATTAATGCAAGCATTTAAGAAACAAACACTGCTCGTAGATAATTTGAAAAAACAAAATGTATGTATTTATTTCATTATTAATTTTTTCTATTTATATAGAGGGGAAGTGAGGTAAGACGAACCATGAAGTAAAATGGTCCATTTTAACTGTTTTAACTTTTCAACTATTAAAAAATGATGTCAATGTATTATAAAACTGTCGTGAATCATAAAGAAATGTCAAATTCTTCCAAGTAGATCTCGTAATCTAATTTCTTAATGCACTCCTAATATTTTTGAATTTTTTTTAAATGTAAACTATATTTGTATACAATTTTTAATTCGTATAAATAACAATCATATATTTGAAAATTACTCGGTACAAAACATTGATCATAACATACAGACTGTATACAATTGGATAATTTAGAATAGGGGAGTCAGCACCGACAACCTTGAACTTGAGCAATCTACAACAGGTTTTAACCATTGCTCGTTACTTATTAAAAAATTATTAATCAAATAATTTCAAAGTCAATGTCTTTTTTTGCTACATGCAATGTATTAAGAATTACTCTACTGTTCATGTAATGACTTTCAACATGAAGTCCACTGTACATGCAGCTATTTCTGCTTAAGAGGTTCATCTTACCCTTCTTCCTCTATTATATAATATAATAATGAATATATTTATAACTTTATAATTTTTTAGATGTACTTGCTGGGAACTGGACAAATCAGCTTAATGAAAGAAGATTTTGTGAAGTTATTAGATTGGAAATCTTAGAATCTCTGATACGTTTTAAGGAAATGCTGGAGCAATGACTGAACCCTGATGAAAATAAAACGTAAACCAAGTGTCAATAAAACATTGATTAAGTCCGAATCTATAATAGATGTTTTCAGTCTTAAGCCGTAGGAAATTGGGCAATTACAGTCGAATGTGAGGAGAATAATTTACTGAGATTCGTCCATTTTTTATGGCTTAAGGCTTAAAAACCTATTCCAGATCCAGGCTAAAGGAAACATAAGGGAAGAATAAGGTTGCAAAACTCGCGAATCAGAGTAAACGAGAAATTCGGAGAATTTCTTATGAGAGAATTTAATCAGCGCTCGCGTGCGAGGGATGATAAATCTATTTTAATTAAATGATCTACGTCTCGCATATCGACGTTAGAGACATAAGATGTTAAATAAGATTTTTTGTCGCAAATAGATAATCGTGATATCCAAGGGCGACGTAATCTACCAGCTGTTGTATTCCCGTCAACACCATCGAAGATCGGAAACGGAAATGTGAAAAGCGTGGAAGCATATTCTGTAATTCCTGGAGCAAAAGTATTTTTTAAAGAAGAAGAGGCTTTATAGTAACAAGTTGAAGCTGTGTCAACCGATATGTTTAAAGTTACTGATATAGAACTGTATCCCAGTACGTTATATAATTTATTATTGCAAATAATATTACATATAACATTCCTGACACTCATGTAATGTTACATCTACAATTATAAGTTACATGTGTGGTTTGCTGAGGTGTATTTAAGTAACATACTGCGTTATCTAAGTAAAAAAGGTATAATCAATAAAATCAAGATTGCTCCAAATATTCGGCGTTAAAATTATTTAAGATTAATAAATTAGAAATATGTGAATAAATAAAGCATATTTATAACTACTCAAAATGGAAATGTCTTCTCTGTACTGCGATCTAAGTTTTTCATATTTAAAAGGAATTTTTTATTCGTCTGTTTTAAAAGCATTAAAATATTCTAATGTATTCTCTTATAAAAATACATTAATAGGTATTTTTGAAATATATAGACTCTGAAAATGTTTGTTACTTATTAATATTATAAATAACTTTGTAATATTAATATTCTTCTGTTGCTGTCTACATTTTTTTAACATAATGTAAAAAATTCTTTGAAGAAATTCGTTAAAAATATCGTCTTTTATCTTCATTTATAGATATATACATCATCGGTGATTATCGACTACTCATACACCCTAGCGGCGATTTGAAGCATTAATCGGCATTGTGCGAGAAAGCACTGCAGTGTCGCGTGTCTGGTCGCCGCATCGTTATGTCGTGCGCAAGTCATACGAATGCTCATTAAGAGTTTTGTGGTTGTTTTTTTTGGTCTGTGGTGTAGTTTCGTGATCTCGGGGAGTACAAAGTAAGGCTTGGAGTGAACTCGAGGCACAGCGTCAATCACCTCGCGTGTGATCGCGCGTCGCGTGAACTGTTTGGATATGTTGGAGGAACGTACGCTGGCGTACGCTTCTGACGATTTCGGCTGGGGTCACTGAAGAGCGGTATTCGCGTGAGCAATGGCGCGAGCGCCTCGACGCGCTTCAGGAACGACGTGTGTACGGTGTAGATGATACATCGGCGCCCAATCCGCGTGGTATGTTGTTTACGTTGCGCGCGAGGATCTATCGTTCGCATTACGACGGCGCAGTATACAGCTCGAAGGATCTTGAGCGCGAGCCTCGTCGTGAGCCGCCATGAGACGCATTAGCGGTAAGCCATCGTTACGATTGCTGCCAAATGTTATGTTC